AGCCAGGTACTAGCAGGTATCAAACTACTTAAAGGGTTAAAGAGGTTTCCCTCTTCCCCCCACTTAAAGCAAATTGTTCAATAAAGCTGTGTGGATAATAATTGGCATTGGCCATAAAAAGTTCCCTCAGAATAAACAGACCAACCTAAGAGAATTTTTTTTTTTTGAATGGCAGTAATTAAAGGAATGTAAAATTACGGACAACAACGTAACTACCTGGCAGTAAACTTGAGGAAATCCTGAATAAAATTTATAAACAATTCCAAAATAAAAAATTTGACAGAAGGTTAGAGTAATTAGTGAAAATTTTTGGCTCATCCTAACCTGGCGTGTCAAGTTGTTCTCCTGGATGCGACCTCTACTTCCCCTCAACGAAATGCTGTACTGTCTCAGGCTCTGCCGGACACCTCCCTCCCCATCGGGCAGGGCGCCGTCTGGAATGCTGTTGCTTGAGCTCTCCTGACTGCTGTTTGAGAACTGGCTTTCCCTGTAGCTGACACTTCCATCCCCTGCTTCAGATGTTTCAGACAGTGATACACCCATATCTCCGCTGGTATCTGACTGATTGGGACGGGACTTTTTCCTGATGAAATATACAATAAGTGTACACATTGAATACCTGCAGGCTCGTTTTAAACAAATTTTAAGTTACAGTTTTATGAACAGCGTTACCAACGTATTAGGTTTTTTTATGTTTGGTATGTATTAACCAAGTCCAATGTTTTCTAAAGTGATTCATCCAAAGTTCTTGTTAAGAAAGTGTCAATGTACACGCTCCAACTTTCATCGCCAAATACTGTCAATTTTTAAAAAAATGGTTTAAAAGATTTTTTCATCAACCACTAATGTTTCAGCATTCATAAATGATTTTAAGGTAACAAAAAATGTCCAGGGGGGTAATGGCTTGGTGTTGATACATTAAATGAAATTGAAATATAGCTTACAATGCTTGACACTAACTTTATATTTAAAAAATCAAATCACTAGAGACTTTGCTTTATTTGCGGCGCATGCTTAAACAAACATCATAATCAAATAATTATTGTTCTTTTGTAGGATTATGTTAAAATAAGAGTTTTCAAGAATTGAAAACGGCAGCCTTTTTTTGCTTTTCATTAAACCTAGGGGACAGGTCATTTAGTTTTTTCATTAAACCTAGGGGACAGGTCATTTAGTTTTTTCATTAAACCTAGGGGACAGGTCATTTAGTTTTTTCATTAAACCTAGGGGACAGGTCATTTAGTTTTTTCATTAAACCTAGGGGACAGGTCATTTAGTTTTTTCATTAAACCTAGGGGACAGGTCATTTAGTTTTTTCATTAAACCTAGGGGACAGGTCATTTAGTTTTTTCATTAAACCTAGGGGACAGGTCATTTAGTTTTTTCATTAAACCTAGGGGACAGGTCATTTAGTTTTTTCATTAAACCTAGGGGACAGGTCATTTAGTTTTTTCATTAAACCTAGGGGACAGGTCATTTAGTTTTTTCATTAAACCTAGGGGACAGGTCATTTAGTTTTTTCATTAAACCTAGGGGACAGGTCATTTAGTTGAACAGTTCAGGAATGCACACCCTGACATTTTAACAGAAGACATCTTTGATGTCAAGGTACAGGATGGAGAGCAGCCTCCCGAAACACGAGAAGAGAGAGATCAACAAATTAAAACACTTAATTTTATCACAACAGGAAACACACCTAAGAACAGGTGAATCCATTGTTGACAAGATCAACAAATTAAAACACTAAATTTTATCACAACAGGAAACACACCTAAGAACAGGTGAATCCATTGTTGACAAGATCACAAATTAAAACACTAAATTTTATCACAACAGGAAACAGACCTAAGAACAGGTGAATCCATTGTTGACAAGATCAACAAATTAAAACACAGACCTGTTTACCCTCAAACCCATAAAATCGGACAATCTGGTCTCAAAATCGTACAATACAATATCTCAATAGTAAATAAATAAAACTACAATAACGCAATAAAGACTAATTATGTAAACCCCCCCCCCCTTTCCGTTGCACGCAGAAGTTTTTACGACCCCCCCCCTTTTCCCTTAATTACAATAATAAAAAATAAGCAAAGTCCATTACATATTATGTTACAGTAAACAAAATGTGACACGGCTTTTCACCACTGGTGATTCGTCCAGCCCAGTGGTTCACATAATATATGCTACATCGGACTACATCGTCCTGGGTGCTCGCTGTCCTTGGGCAGGGCCATGAGAATATAACGAAGAGCAACCGCGTGAAAATCGTCCATAGAAAGGAACTTAAACAGTCAATTCAACTATAAAAAAACCATTTACACAAAGATTAAGGGCGCAATAAATTGTCCTTTTAAATGGGGGGTACAAATTTTCTAAATGGGCTGCTGCGGCCTCCTCACAGGGGCGTTGCAAAATATTTAAAAAATTTCATAATTTTATTTTTACTTTTAATCCAATGTGACATCTTTCGGTCCATTTCCCCAGTTGAGTATCTACTGTTTGTATCTACAGATGGCGCTCAGTGTTATACGTGTTATATTGATTTTTATCACACCCTTTGTTTTATTTTGGTATTCGCTATGTCCAAGTGCACTTGTTAGAATGTCACACAGGCGCCGGAAAACAAATATTTTAGAACCACTGGCGTAGCCCAACGAAATATGCGTCATGCGCGCGTTGAACATTCGGTAGACTTAACACCGTACTGTAATTCTTCCACTATTGAGTATAGCAAGCCAGTTGATTTGTGAAAATACCCCTTGACAACATCACGAGTCTAATGCCTACTACACATTGGCTGCTATTTTACACCATTCGAGATAGAAATGTTATTTTTGGACTTTCAGAGTTCGGGATAAATGTTGCAGAATTTTTTAAATAACGCACATACTTTCTGCCGAGGACACCCCCCAACCCCCATGCACACACACACTCGAACTGTCATTAAGAAAATTTGGCGGTGTTGAGTATATAAATTGAAATACTTAGACCGGCTCCATGCACACAATCTCTTAAATCAACACCAATCCTTTTATCTCTGATTGATTGCTAATGAAAAGTCCGACTGTGCTGTTTGCGTCTGATGGACCCTTATTTCAAGAACGCAACTCAGTCGTCTGACATTCAAGATAGGATATCAGCGAATAAACTTTCTTTTGCTGAATCTGATGTTAAGGTAAAGTTCCTTCTTCATCATCTGTTTCGCGTGCCTTTCATTTTATCGATGCCATATCGTAATGTATTGTGCATGCTCAACTACGGTAACGAAAACAAAAAGGCTCGCCAGTAACATTAAAATACCGCAATGTGCACATCCGTCTATGGAGCCCACTGCGTACGCCAGGGCTGTTAGGACAATGGGAATCCATATATAACATACTCGGTAGGCAAAATGAAATGTAAAAAATATTCCTAACCCCCTCCCCACCTTGTCAACGTAAAGCTATCCAACTACTACGTACACGCTGAGGATGCGCATGGCAGCTTTGATGGGAAAAGTGGGGTTGGGGGGGGGGGGCAGAATACACCTACATTTTTGCATAATTTCTTCAATGATTATCCTGACAGTCTCTTATGGAGCCAACTGTCACCTGAAAATCTGTGAAGGCCATGAATTCCAATTAGGCCCATTATTAATTATTATTATTAAGGCTATAAAACATCACCACAGTGTTTCGCAGTTATCGTTTACTAATGCTTTGTGTTTTCATCAAGAAATCACTGTAG